GAAAGCTCCTATTGTAATTCACTGAATTAACAAAATAAAGGTGGGAAAAAAATGATTATTTCCGTCACAGAAAACCCATCTGACAGAATTCAATATTCATTCAAGATAAAAATTCTCAGCAAATCAGGACAAAAAGGGAACTGCCTGAATCTGATATCGGGCATCTATGAAAAGCATTATATTCAACGATGAAACAGTGAATGCTATATCAGGAAAATGGTACAGATGACCACCCTCACCATTTAACATTATTATATTGGAGGCCCTAGCCAGGGTAGTTAGTAAGGCAAAGTGGAGGGGAGACATAAAACACATTAATAAAAGATTGGAAAAAGAAGAAGCAAATTTGTCTCTATTCCTAGATAAAATGACTGTTTACTCAGAAAATCCTAAACAAATATACAAAACTACTACTAGTAAATGAATTTAGTAAGATAACAAAATACAAAGTCAATATACAAAAACCAAAAGTATTTCTATACAGCAGCAAACAAATGAAAACTGAAATTTAAAACAGGTGAAATGTGTTTTAATGATATATTTTATTTAGACTAATACATCTATAATATTAACATGTAATCCACAAAATTATTCATGAACTATTTTATTCCATATCCTTTTTTTTCATATAAGTCTTCAAAGTACACTATATATTTTAGAATTATAGCAGATACCAATTCAAACTAGCCACATTTCAAATGCCCAATGGCTACACGGGGTCATAGCCACCATACTGAACAACATAGCTCCAGACTGAACACAGCAATCAAAATTAATCAAAATCAAAGCAGGGTTTTTTTGGGGGGCAGAGGGCACAAATTAAAAGTGGATCCTAAAATCTGTGGAAGGTAAAAGATCCAGAATATCCAAAGCAATCTTGAAAGAGCAAAGTTGGAGGACTTACACCATCTGACTTCAAAACTTACTATGAAGCTACAGTAATCAAGACAGCAAAGTACGTATGGGCTTAGAAACAGAGATCAATGAAACAGAATAAAATCCAGAAGTAGGGGCGCCTGGGTGGCTCAGTCGTTAAGCGTCTGCCTTTGGCTGGGGTCATGATCCCAGGGTTCTGGGATCGAGCCCCGCATCGGGCTCCCTGCTCGGCGGGGAGCCTGCTTCTCCCTCTCCCACTCCCCCTGCTTGTGTTCCCTCTCTCGCTGTGTCTCTGTCAAATAAATAAAATCTTAAAAAAAAAAAAAAATCCAGAAGTAAACTCAGACATTTACGGTTAATTTTATACAGAGGTGCCAAGGAATTCAGTTGAGGAAACGTTCAACAAATGGTTCTTGAATAACCGAACATCATTATATAAAAACAAACCACAGAACTTTAGACACTTCATAACATGCAAAAATTAACTCAAAACAGTTCACGGATTTAAATGTAAAACTGAAAACCATTAAGACTTCTAGAAGAAAATCTCTGCAACCCTGGTTAGGCAAAGATTTCTTAGATACAACAAAAGCACTATCCTTAAAAAAAAAAACTGATAAACTGGACTTCATTAAACTTTTAGTCTTCAAAGATATTATTAAGAAAATAGAAGAGAAGTCACAGACTAGGAGAAAATAATTACAAATCATATATCTGACAAAGGACTTAATTCAGAATCTATAAAGAACTCATGCAACTCAAAAGGACAAATAACCCAATTTTTAAAAATGGGCAAAAGATTTGAACCCTTCACCTGAAAAAGGTATGAACAATAAATATGCAAAAGAAAAGATCCTCAACATCATCAGTCATAAGGGAAATGCAAATTAAAACCGCAAGATACCACCTCATACTCACTAGAATGAATATAATCCAAAAGACTATCAATACCAAGTGCTAGCAAAGATGTGGAGAAACTGGAACCCTTATATAATGCTGGCAGGAATCTAAAATAGCATTCACCTTGGAAAAACAGTTTGGCAGTTTCTTAAAACATTAAACACACTTACCATACAACCTAGCAATCCCACTCCTAGATATCTAACCAAGAGAAATGAAAACATATGTCCATTTAAAGCCCTGAACATGAATGGTCCTGGCAGCGTATTTCATAATAGCCCCAAACTGGAAACAACCCAATGTCCATCAACTGATGAATGAATGGATAAACAAAATGTAATATACCCATACAATGGAAAATCATTCCGCAATAAAAAGGAAAGCACTACTGACATGTAATACGACAGGGATGAACCTCAAAAACATTGTGCTCAGTGAAAGCAGACAGACACAAAAGACTACATATTGTACAATTTCATTTATATGAAGTTTCTAGAAAAGGTAAAACCATATGGAAAGAAAGATGATTCCTAGTTGCCTGGGGCTGTGAGTGGGGACTGACTAACGAACACAAGGGAACTTTCCAGATGATGAAAATGTTCTATAACTCAGACTGGTGATGATTACATAGCTGCATAAACTTACTAAAATTCATTTAACGTACACTTTAAAATGGGTGAATTTAATGTCATGTAAATAATACTTCAACAAATCTGTATAAAAATAAAATTGGTTGATGCCTAGATACATAACAAAGCAAATGTAGCCAAAGGTTAGCAACTGTATAATCTTGACAGTAGGTGTATGGATGTCCACTGTACAATTCCTTAAACTTCTGTTTTAATTTTTCGTAATAGAAGTCAGGAGGTACTTTTAACACAATTGTAGTAACTTGCATAAACAAATGTCACAATAAACAAAAGGCTGACCTTTATGCTACTGTATCAAATAATCACTTTGACCTTTTACTTACTCCTCAAAATAAAACTCCCCTTCAGAGTTTTAACATAGTTTTGACCAAAGGTTAATTGATCATACAATGTGAATTTCAGCATAAGCAGATATAACTTCCACACAGGCCTATAATGCCAATAACTTTACAACACCCTGTGGCTCTCTTTCAACCTCCCAGATCAAGCCTTCTTAGTGTTCCCATGGATGTTCTACTCCTTGAATGTTGCCGTTCCACAAAGCACAGCTCTCAGGCCTGTCTTTGAGGCATCACAGTTGTGCTTAAGCCTTGGTTACTGTGAACAGAGGACCCAAAGGTAAAAAACTCCTCTCTTATTTTTCCTGGGAGCTGGGGAAGGGAATGTGACTGATCAAGGTGGGGAAGGGAGGACAAATAGTGGTATAAAGTTCATCAAAGACTGAAGGATGCCCTCAAGTCTCTGGTGGTCCAGAGTAAAAAATGTGGTAAGAGCAGAAGCCAAGAGCAGCCTATCTTCCCTTTTTCTCCTCTTTCTCTACACCATCAAACCTGACCAACAATGGGTCAGGAGCCTCTGGGGAGCTTGCCTTCCAGCTTGAAAAAACTGTGGGATCACCCTCTGTTGTCATTTACCCTGAACACTGTTCTGCATTGCCAATCCAATCTGGCTTTGTTTTGCCGTTGCATTTATAATCCCAACACCCTCGAATGGTTTCCAGTTCTTTCATTTCAGGAACACCTTAGCTGCATGCATGTCGGAAAGGACTTTGCTGCTGGTCATCAGTATTTCCCAAAGGTTGCAGGCAAAAATCTTCTGTCATTTTCTACAATCTATGTTTGGGACAGATGCTTAAGGTTATTTCCCTGATACAAGCCCTCAAAACATGTTCAGTAGTGGGTGCCTGGGTGGTTCAGTTGGTTAAGCAACTGCCTTCGGCTCAGGTCATGATCCTGGAGTCCTGGGATCGAGTCCCGCACTGGGCTCCCTGCTCAGCAGGGAGTCTGCTTCTCCCTCTGACCCTCCGCGCTCTCTCATTCTCTCTCTCAAATAAATAAATAAAAAATCTTAAAAAAAAAAAAACATGTTCAGTAGTTACCACTTGTGCACAGATACCTAAAGGAGTAGACAGCTGCTGGGGAGTCAAGTTCTTCTTTCGGTTTCTTATAAACAGTGTAGTAAGTGTGCATACAATTCTATCCCTACTTCATAAGTAGGGCTTGGCGGTTGGGAAGTGGGGACCAGTGGGAAATCTAGAATATGGGCCAATGATGCTAAGATTTTTCTCACAGAGATGTAATGAAGTGTACATGAATATTTTAGCCACTGTCACCAGCAAGGAGCTCTTCACTGGTTAACAGTATACAAGTCCACCACCTCTGCATTTCATTAGATATTCTGGAGGCACTTCCTTACATGTTCTAAGGGCTTCAGAGACTAGAGAAATGAAATAGTGTAAACATCCAACTGTCACTTAAAATGGAGACCACCTTGATGAGATAAGACTTCTGAATCTGCGTGGCCTCCAACCCACTCACTATAAGGAGATAGCAGCAGGATTTCAAGACCTTAGATAAGGTAATTCCAGCAGCAATTTGGTTATTGGCTTATACTTCAGCAATTCCGTGACTTGCTGTCCCACCCTATGTTTCAACTTTACTGTGTATATTTTCTCCATTAGGTCCCTAAGCAGAAAGCAGACTGTGGTAAAAACAATTTTTTAAAATCACAGGTCCCCCCAAGTCCACCTCAAGTTTGTTAGTAAATGAGAGCCACAAATTTCTTGGTAAGTCTCTATCAGAATTTTATATTAATCATTGGAACAAACATTTCTTGATCTCCTGACCACAAAGAACTTAAAATCCCAGAGCGAGATAAACCATGCTACCGAAGGAAATGATAAGTACATACAACATTTTGGACCCTTTCTAACACACAGCCAATATCCATCTTTGGAAAAAATGTTTTAAGAGTTTCAGGAAATTTAACAGTTACTATTTGACATCCCAGAGTACTTGAATATTATTATTATTATTCAAAATAATGCACAGAATGTGCTAATTTTATGTAAGGATCAAGGCACATAGTGAAAAGCCTCTGCTCTTGACAACAGTTCCCCAAGGAAACCCATGGGCATGGTCAGTTGCTTCTTCCTCTTTTTAGTCTCCTATAGCTGGTTCAAGCTGTCCAGCCCTCGGGGACAAGTTAATAACACGGCTTGCAAATAGATCTTTCCCCCAGAAAAAAGAAATCCAGCAGCCCACCAAAACTGTCACCAGCCCTTCCCACACTTACCAGTGCCATAGGGAGGATGCAGCTGATGGCAGTGAGCATCAACGGCCTGAAAAAATACAGGTGGTAGTTTCAATTTTTATTTAGAATTCTTACTTGCCAACTGCCTGAAAATTTTTAAGGCTACACGAATGGGTCTCCATGCCTCAGCCTGTGTTAAGCCACTTCGTGGTCCAATCACATTTGTTAACAAACGCTAGTGGTAATTCACTAAACAGCAGAGATGAAGGAAAGGAGTGAATTGTGGGTGAGCTTCTGGGTCTGGGGTAGAAAGGGACATGATATAGGAAAGCTAGCCTAAGGAGATCAAGATGGATGAATTCAGGTCTTGGAGGGTAGGGGGTGAGGCGAGAAAGTACTAAAAGGCATAAGAGGAAGAAACAAGGTCAAACCACAGAGACAAAGGAATAGGTGAACATCACCCTAGAATGGGACAAAATCAGCAGCAGTGGTGGTGATAGTGGGGTTCCAGCAGGCCTCTGACTTTAGGCAAGGCTCACCCCTACGGTCTAATTTAAGTGGTGGGCCTTCACTTCTCCCATACTTCACATCTACATATTCTCAGCTTCTAGAAGGCCAGCTCTCTGGCTCCTGATCATAACTCTGCTTCCTTTCACTTTTTCTTTACAGGTCTCCATGGAGGGAGGGCTGACTTGTAATCAAGGCACCCATGCTACTCATACTTTAAAAAATCTGGCTAAATCTGAAGATTTCTCTTGTCTAACCTTAACTCAGTCTGTCTTTGATCATTAAAATAAATACCAAGAAACACAAAGACCTCACTAAATAAAGTTATTTATGCAAAATACAATAAAGCAAAAATATGAGTCATCCATCCCTGACTACGAGGGTACTTTTTTATTATGAAAAATTCCAAACATCTACAAAAGTGAAGAGTATGATGAAAACCATGTACCCATCACCCAGCTCCAACATCAACTCATGGCCAGGTCCACTCTATCTGTACCTCATCCATCCATCACCTGCTACATTATCATGGAGTAAATCCCAGTCTATATCTTAGGGTGTTAATTTTAATGAAAAACCTCTGGAAAGTACTTAGTACAAAAGGCTGGTTAAGCCCCTACTAGAATTCTAAGAGTTTTCCAGGGGGTGCCATAAAGCAGGATGACCACCATTTTTACAAACCAAGGTCATATCCAGTAACCAAACCAAAAGAAATGCAGACAGGAGCTATCTGCACACTGTAGGATTAAAAGCCAAATCTCCTACCATGTTCATGCAGCCACAAGCCCATCCTGTCCAAAAATGATTTCAAATAATGCTCTGCCTCTTGTAGCTACTGCTACTGTAAGGAGGCATATTAAGAGAGAATACCAAATACTATCTTGGCAGTACCATTCATATTCCCACTCTTCTCTAGAGGACACCTCAGAGGCTAGCATATCTTACTGATAAAGCTACAGACTCCAAGAACATATTTCAAAGCAGAACTACTGATTGCTGGCCTTAGATAGCTATGCTTAAAACATGTAACGCTATTTTTATAACCTTTCTGTTCATAAAAAACTCCATCAGAAATGGAAGCTCCTTGAGACAGAGATTTGAAACAATTTCCTTTTCTGCCATATGCAAGGACTTGGCACAATGCCAGCACCAGTACTAGGTCCTACATGCTAACACTATCCTCTGTCATGGCATACCCACATTCTCCTCCAGAACCCAGACAGGCACCAAGATCTTTCAGGCCTCTAGGGGATGCAGGAAGAGGCCAGATACAGCTAATCTGAGGAAGGTTTAAAAAAATAAAAAATAAAAAAAGGAAGGACAAGAGGTCTTCTGAGAGTTTGCAGAGCGTTCTGAAGAGCAGAGATGCTTACAGGAGGTTTGAGGAGACAAAAATCAAACATGGGTTAGAGAAAGGGGCAACAGGAAGGAGTTCAGTTCAGGCTGGAGTCTGAAGAAGTTACGTTAAGTTTTTCAACAGACCAAGATAATCAAAATGGCACTTTTAGTGGATATACCAGAAAATATGAAATAGCAGGAGAAAAAGATTTATTTAGATCTCTTCTCTCATCATTCTAAAAAAAGAGGTGGCAGAAACTAAAGGCAAAGAGATCTTAAAATTATTTTATGGTAGAGGTCAAACTATTTTTTTCCCCCAGCTCTCAGCATCTATCTAAAAGTTAAAATAACGGAAGACACTCAGGAAACACTTGTTTATTGGGAATCAATGAGTTTTTAACCTATCCCAATTACCAATAACAAAGAAAATCAAATGGTTCATAAAAAGCACTTTGATGAAAAGGAACAATACCTGCCACCCCATCCTTCCCCAGCCTCCCAGTCTTCCTATCCAGGAGAAATCTCTACAGTTCTTCTGGTTGTCACCAATCTCATTGAGCATGCCCATAATTCTATAGCAGATTTAGTTTACTTATACCACTCCCTACCACCCCCTTCCAAGGCCCAACCTTTTTATATTTAAATTACTATTTTTAGTTCCTTCTAGCAGTTACCTTTTGTTAACTTTAAAACATTTACAGGACCAGAATTGCATTTTCTTCCTTGTGCTTCCAAAACCACTATCCTTGGGCCATTCAAAGAAGGATATTCTTCATACATTAGGCACAGATACATTATCTCTATTCAGTAGCCACCAATTAATTATACTTGTGCCACTTATGTGTTTGATCTATTATTTGGCTTACAACTTTTTGCATACAGTTTTTCTCCTTTGCACAGGAATTCTAATTCCCTTACCCCTTGTAAAAAGTTCTATGGTTTCTTCACTGTATTCCAACTATCTTCCAGCTTCTTCATTTTATCTGTTGCTTGGAATCTACCCATTCCCGTTCCCGAATAAATTTTTCTTGGATCCCATCAAATCTGTGTTCAAATTTGGGCTGGCTACTTTCCAGGGTAAAACAGAGTTCCTACTGTATGAAACTTTTCATTGGACTACTAGGTTAGTTCAGCCATTTCTTGAATATTTTCCTCATTTTTTATTTTCATCTGCCAAGTAACTGCTTCAGTAAAGGTATAAGGAAAGAAAATTTTGGGAGTCCTTGCACATCTGAAAACAAGTGTATTTTGCTATGACAATTTCTAGGTTCAAAACCGTTCTCCCTCAGGACTTGGAAGACTGCTGCTCCACTGCCTTCTGGTTGTCACTGTTGTGGATGACACAGCTGATTCCCATTTCTTTTAGAAGACCCAGTGTATACAGAAACTTTTAGGGTTTTCCGTCTATTCTTGTTTTTCTGAAATTCTAGCAGTGGGTCTTTCTCAATTCTTCTGGGCATTGGGTAGAACCTTTCAATATGAAGAATGCTCCTTTCTTTAGATGCTGGAAATTTTCTTCTTCTTATACTTTCAAATATTTCCCTCCTTGCAATTTTTTGTTCTCACTTCCCAGAAATTCTGGTAGATGATGGATCTCTGAATTGATCCTCTACGTCTCTTTTCTCCACATCAATTTTCGCCTTTCGTATTTTGGCTTTATATTGAGATTTTCTCTTGATTTTTATCTTCTGATCTATCTACAGAATATTTTTTAACTTGAGAAACACATAATTCATCTCTATGAGCTTTTTTATTTTGACAGTTTCTTCCAGATGGCATCTCTGATTGTTTCATGGATGCCATATCTTCTTGAGTATCTAGGAGAATACTAAATAGTACGCTTTTAAAAACAAGCAAAATCATCTAATGGTCTGTTTCAGCTCAGATCAATTTTCCTATTTCTCTTCCATTTTGCATGTTTTCCTCAAATGTCTGGTGATTCTTGGTTAAAAAAACAAAGGGTCACCAAAAAAGGGAATGAAGTAGTGATGCATGCTGTAACTTGGATGAACCTCAAAAACATCATGGTAAGTGAAAGCAACCAGACACAAAAGGTCATATATTGCATGATTCCATTTATATGACATATATAGAATAAGTAAATCCATAGAGACAAAAAAGCAGATTAGTGGTTGCCCAGGGCTGGGGGGAGTGAGAAATAACTGTTTAATGGGTACCAGGTTTCCTTTTGGGTAATGAAAATGTTCTGGAACTAGATGGAGATTACGGTTCCACACTGTGAATGTACTAAATGCCACTGAATTTCAACTTTAAAATGGTTAATTTTATATGAATGTTACAATTTTAAAAGGGGAGTGGGTATCAGGAAAATGAACCCTAACTCTGTGTACATGGACAGAACCTGTCAACTGACAGGCTTTTCTTTAGGGTGCTTAATTAGAGGCAGCATATACATAAGACTCAAGAGCCCCCAAAGTGACCAATGAGGTCAGCCCAATCTCACACTCTCTAAGGGACCTATTTCTCCCCAAGTTACTCTATTTCTTAAAAATAAGATTATTTTGTCTACAAACCAAGTGGGAGCAGGGTTAACTATTTTACATAGAAATCTTTAATTAACCCTCTCATTTGCAGCTCACTTATCTTTTCCAGCCTTTGTCAGTCAAATCAGAGCTCAGTCTCTTCAAAGATCTGCTGGACAAACTGGCTCCTATGTGCAAGGTCCCCACAAGCCAGCCCCCTCTACTTATTCTCTTCGTTGTATTATGAGTTTATAACATGAATATGGCTTTACTTTCATTTTCATGATATTTCAAAATAGAAAAACCACCCCTAAATTTACCTCATGCTCTTCATCATCATCTCTCTCCCTGCCCTCTCCAACTCTCCAGGCAACCACTGATTTACTTTCCTTCACAATGGGTTTGCATTTTCTAGAATTTTATATGATTCAAATCATAAAATATTTACTCTTTTCTCCCCTCGGGTTCCCTCATGCAGCATACTTTTTTAGGATTTACCAATGACGCTTATATAAGCCATTCACTTTTTATACTGCTGAGAAGTATGTTGTTCTATGGGCACGCCACTATTTGTTCATTCATCTGTTTGTGGATATTTGGGTTGTTTCCAGTTTTTGGCTATTGCAAATAAAACTGCTACAGACATTTGAATACCAAACAAACAAAAACAAATGGAGGGGGGACAAAGCTATGTAAGGACAACCAATCATCTTGTAGCAGAAGCCAATGTTAACACACTAGCAAAAAATAAAATAAAAAA